TTCCAGTGAAATATATTTATGTTTGTGGTTGTAATGTGACAAAATATGGAAAAGTTCAAGGGGTATGAATACTTTTGCAAACCACTGTATGTAACGTTAGTCCAACTTTATTATTTCAGTATAAAATGTTTACCCTAAACATAAAGAAGCCATAATATATATTTAAAAAACAGAAATCTAGTTTTGAGCTGTGTTTGGGTTTTATGTGTTTCTGCATAACAAAGCACTCAGACACAAAAAAGATCAAAACCAATGACATATATTAAAATCAACCCCAGTCAGATGTTTAATAATTACAATATCAACAAATAAAGAAGCTAAAACAATAAATCATATTTCCAAAATGTTTCCACAGTATCCAAAACAAAGACGCAGCGGCCTCGTTTCTTGCTACAGGTAAACAAAAACTCATCTGTTCTCATTTCATCTGATCTTTAGTCTGAACAGAACGTGTTGGGTCTTTTGATATGACGTTTTTTTTTTAAGATATGAGAAGCAAAGAGAGACCGTGTCACGATGATCTCAGCTCATTTGGCTTTAAAGCTTCGTCTAAAACCGACCCGACGAAGCAGACGGGATTTGGCCGCCGCCGCCGGGTTGCTTTGATCTCAGCTGGTCGTGTGTAAAGTGCAGCTTTTACACAATATAAAAGAAAAAAATACAGCTTGCATATTGCTAAAACAAAAACAAAAAACAAAAAATAAAACAAGCTATAACATTGTGATGTTCTCAGTAGTTTTTCTCGACCCGAACAGTTTGATCCTTTCCTCGCCTGACCTGGCTGAAAATACGGAAACAGAAAAACGACGACTGTTGTGCGTCGAAACATCCATTAACAGATAAATGAAACGGGTACGACACAAATCTTTATCCAAACGGTCAAAACTCAAACATTCCTTTAGTTCTCGTTAGTTCCCACTCAACGTTAAAAGTGTTGTTAAGGTCCTAACAGGGGAACAGATGAACGAACAGGTGCCACTTTAAAGTCCACGAGACCAGAAATACCTGCAGCTTCCAGCCAGCAGCACAGCTGGACTTTATACAAACATCTGCAGTAATCAGTGTTGCTTTAGGTTTGACGTGTGTGCTGACTTCACCGAGCCAAAAACGAGTTTGCTTCAGAAAACCAACACACAATAATAAAACACTTAACGTTGCAACATTAGTTGATACTGTTGTGTTTTGTTTATTGCAGTCTGAGCAGCAACACTGACAGTAAATAATACCATGGTGATGAATTTTAAATAAATTGTGCCCTCATTTGTAACCTTTTATTTAGATTTTGGCTAAAGGGGCCTGATACCAGCATCGAATACTTGTAGTCATAAAACGCTCCCATATCACTTTTACATTTGATGATGTCATTTCCTCTTTTGTAGAAAGGAAATTAAAAAATACCTTGTCTGAAACTTCTGAATAATTTATATAATTTTTATTTTAATTGTATTTTTTTTTCTTATTTATTTATTTTGTTTTCTAGTTTTTCCTTTGCAGTTCCTTTTATTCTGTATTATTATATTGAGATGTAATATATGGTTGTTATCCAATTACTGTATTACTTTTGTATCCCTGATATTATTTTACTTGTTTGTTTGTTCTGACTCAGATTTCAATAAAGTTAAAAAATAATAAAAAAAACTGTACTTTGGAAATATTTCAATCTGTAAACAGAGATGTTAGGACAGTGTTCCTGTGGCACCCAGGAATATTCAACCATTTAAAGTCACCCCCTAAACATTTATTTTTAAATTTAAGACGTGTTTTGACTGTTAATGTTGTGTGGCACTGACTCACGCGAAGTAAATTCAGGTGCAATACCAATTTGTGCCAGTAGATGGCAGTAGTGGCGCATATGAGAGAGAGAGAGAGAGAGAGAGAGAGAGAGAGAGAGAGAGAGAGAGAGAGCTAAAGGCTGTGAGTTGGAAATTCCTCAGCTGTGTGATCAGTATCTCAGCACAGCAAAGCTACTAAGAGAACCTGATTTCTGTTTTCACAGAATAAAGAAAACACTGTTACACTCAATCAGTGCATCTGTTGTCACGTGTTTAACATTCCTAATAAAAGAAAAGTTTCCGAAAATTTGTTAAACGTGCAACTCTTTTTACTTGAACAGTAAATTGTTACACATCTAGACATCCAGAGGTCTATAAAGTACTTGAAAAAATAACTAAGTAAAAGTAAAAACACCTTAACAGAAAATGACTTTGGTAAAAGTAAATTTTACCGATGAGAAAAACTACTTAAGTCATAAAACTGTTCACAAAAATTGGGAAAGTAGAAGTAAAAATACTTTCCAACGCTCTAAATAAACTGTTAAATTTGCAGAACCAAACTGGCTCCACATAACCAAATTGATTAAATTGGTCAATTTCTTTAAAATAAAATATGTATATCGCCTCAAATTTACTCTACTAGGTTTAGTGGGAATAGTTGATATTTGAGTAAATTCAACACTTAATTTTTTAGAGCACATAAACTCCTTTATATGATGAGTTCAGACAGATTTAATTTATAACAAGTAAAGTAACTAGGTGTTAAACTTTAAAGTAAAGAAGTAAAAGTATCATTTTTAGGTTTTAAAAGTAAAAGTCACAATTTAAAAAATATTTGTTGAAATTACAAATCCTCAAAAAAAATTACTTAAGAACTGTAACAAAGTAAATGTACTTAGTTACTATAAACCTCTGATATTTACCAGTCAGCTGTGACACACACACAGCATTGTATTTGCAAATTCATTCTTACTTTTAACTACAGGACATGTTAACTAAAAGCTCAGGCTGAGCTCTGTAATGCCCCACAGATGTTTTTTAACAAGCACATCATGATTCTGTGAGCTCATGCTGACACCATGTCCTCTTTTACTTTTAGTTTTCAGTTATCGTTCTTCTTTTTTAAACTTTTACCTAGCCTGTTGTTGCTTCTTCAGGTTTTTAACTACTGTTCTTCTACTTTTAGCTAGCCTTTTGATACTTTTAGATTGTATTTTCAGCTTTTAGGTAACATTTTGCATATTTTGGCTAGAGTCTTCTACTTTTAGCATCTAGGTTATCTTGTTTTAGCTTGTGTTTTATTAAACTTTGGTTACTTTTAGCTTTTAATAAGCATTTTGCTACTTTTTGGTTTGACCTAATATAATGCTGTTTTTAGCTTGTAACTAAACTTTTAACACTTATGCTATGTAGTACTTGTAGTCACTTTTTTGCTCTTTGAACTTTTAGCCTGCCTTTTGCTATTTTTGATAGTTTTTTGCCACTTTTATACTTTAGTTTAGCTTTTTCTTTTTGTTGCTGGTGTTTTGCTACTTGTTGGTTTTTAGCCGCCACTCGTGAACTTTCTGCTTTTAAGTAATGTTTATTTCTCTTAGCTTTTAATTAGCCGTTGCTACTTTTAATTACTTTTTGCTACTTTTAGCATTTAGCTGATATTTGGTTATGTTTAACTTGCCTCTTGTTACTTTTAGTTACCGTTTCTACATTTTCTTTTGAGTTTCAATGTTTTTAACTACATTTTTAGCTTTTTACTATTTTTAGCCCATAGACTTTTCATACTTTTAGCTAACCTTTTGCTACATTAAACCTTTAGATATCTTTTTTAGTAATTAAAGCTATATTAGCTTTTGGTTTAGCTTGTGTTACTTTTAGCTAGTTTATTTATTTTTTTGTTTTTGTTATTATTAGCTCTTAGCTAGTGTTCTGCTTTTTTAAGCTTTAACAGCTCAGTTTCAGCGTTGTCAGCAAATTTCAAGTCATTCATCACTCAGAATTCACACTGCTTTTTCACAAGAATAGCCATTTCTATTATGTATTGCATWAATCACATCAATGTGTTTGTTGATTTTCTTTCTTACATCCAGACATGCACTACACACCCCAGACACATGAGGTTCAGCTGGTTTAAACCTGACAACTGGGTGTATTTTGAAGAGAAGAGCTCTACTCAGTAATGCATTCATCCACACGACCCGTGTGTTTACCACTGCATGGAAAGGGAGCATCGGCTGAGCAAGTGCAACCTTGTGAAATTATCCTCAGTGACTGACAAGAATGCTGGAAAATCCATTTACCCCTCTAACACACCATCACCCCCCTCAGCAGACAGTCCATTAGATTCACTAACCTGCTCAGTGTGAAGATGCTGAACTCTTAAAGTCAGCACAGAAACTAATTACTTCACTAAATTACACAACAGTCAGTTAAAATGTGACCTTCTTATATAACAACAGGAATGCATCATCTGCTGTGGATCATTATTAAAGTCAGCATAAAAAACTTGAGCTAATTTGATCTCCCATGTTATGAGCTGACACTCMACAAGCACGCTCCACTGACTGAATTCAACGACACAAAGTAAAAAGATCAGGTCTAGTCAACAGCAGACAATAAAACAGATCGCTTTACCTCCTGTACAAATCATCAATATGAAACAGGAACCAAAAAATTTTTTATAGTCCACCCTAAACAAAATATTTTGTAATTAAAGGCCAAGTATTTCTTGAAGAAAAGCAAATCACCTGCTGACTTTCAGGCCAGAGGTTTTAAATGAGGTCATCTTATGTTGAAAAATGATGCTTTTATAACTGGACATGAGATTTCATTCAATCTGTGGGAGCTCTGCTGTGAATGACTCTCAGCTACTACCACCTCAAATCTACCGTTGGTCTCCATTAGGCCAGAGAATATTGAATGATGACATGGCGTCAGTAGGATTAGGGAGCCATCCTGATGACGCAATAAAATAGGCGGAGTCATGTCCTGAAAATCCTRTTATATTGAACTGACTTCCTGAAAACGAGGCCTGAATGCAGACAGAGAACAAACTGCCTTCAGCCAGAGCGCTCTGTGTGGTGTTGTATGAATTTTCAYATCCAATTTCCATGCATTGGTACATTTTCTGTGTGGTTCAAGCACATAAAATGGTAAACGAACACGCTTAACAATTTTCTTTCAGTCGAAAGAAATATAACTCAGTCAAACGTCATTCGACTGAGTTATATTTTTGTACTTGTTGACGTTGGCTGTAATTTTGGTAGCAATTTATAATAACTACACCTTATTTAGCCTAACTTAATGATTAATGAATGGTTAGTTAACATTGAGAACATTATTAATTAAGGATGACTCATATGTAAATAACTATAAATTGACACATTAATTAATGTTTCACCTATAAAGGCTAATTACTTCAAAAACTAACATAAACTAATATACTCATTGTTTGTTCATGCTTAGTAACTCGTGAATTAACTATTTTATGTACAGTGTGTATATGAATGAATGAATATATGAATGAATGAATGAATGAATGAATGAATGAATGAATGAATG